TGACATAATATGAGGTATATGATCGCACACAAAAAACAAGATTAAAAGCAAACAATAGATTGATAGAGGAACCGAGTATTTTATTCAACGACCAAAGGAGAAAATAATATTGTTACAACAATCTTAGCAATACTTAAACTGAATGAAGAATCTACTATTTATAGAGGTATGTCAAAACCCTAAAAGTAACCTAAAAGATGGAAATTAGGTCAAAATACGCGTAAAACTGACAAAAGGAGAAAACCTCGCGCAACACCGTCACTCGAGTGCCGTCTGGAGTGAGGCGAGCGACTGCCGTGTCGACGAACTTGGGCGACAACTTCCTGCTCCAAATGTTCGCCTACTGCCCAAGCAGCCAGCTAGCGAAAATGCGGCGACCTTTCTTTCCGATCCATAATTTTGATCTCTCAAAGACCACTACTCCAAACCACGTAACCCTAAACCGAATTTGGATTACAAACCCAACAAAAACTAAATATGAGCTTGATAAAGCATCACACCCAATAAAGTTGTGGCGTCATTCTCACTACTTAAAAATAACAAACACTCATCTTTGGTAAGGGAATCGATGTGTAATGTTTAAAATAGTACATAGAGAAATATATGTTGACAGCAGACAATAAAAACGGCTTTGGTAAAAATTAAATACTCACTTCTGATATTCTGGCAGAGTTGAATATCGTTTAAGCGTGAAGGCATGTCTTTCAAGGAGTTCCATATAAAGCCTAAATGCTGCTGGATGAGAATGCCGATATGGCATTACCCTGTTAAAAAGTTAAGAAACAATGATACAGTTCAATTTGTGCCAAAGTGAGAAATCAAATGCAGAAACATTAAAAAATTGTATTCTTTTGATTAAGTGTTTTGTTGAATATCTAACAGGTTGAATCCCTCTGTTTAACACCATAGACTCAAATTGCATTGCCAGTAAAGAGATTATACATCCGTCATAATGAGTTTGCAGGTAGTTCACAACAGGATGAATTTATCTGCCTCTACATTATCGATGAAAAATGTTAATTAAAAATAATAATAATAATAATTGTTACTTCAGCATTCAATACTAAAGCAAAAATACATGATACAAACAGGACAACATAATCAGTGGAATGTATTGCCAAATCTAATTACAACATTCATTTAAAATATGTTAAAAATAGGCAGCTAAGACATGTTTGATGCCATAAACAGAAAATAACAGCTCCTACAAAAGATGATATTGAATGCACCTCACTAATATAGAAATCAATAACACAATGTCAAAGACTTGAGCAAAAGCGATTCTAGATTCTTATTACAAAGAAAGAATCAATCTTGTACCTCTTGAAAGATGGAAACAACTGTTACATCTCACAATAAAAACATACACAAATTGAAAAATGTCGAAATAAGTACTGTTTTAAAAAGTACCTGACATCATTGAACAGAATACTTACCATTAGTAAAAGAAAAAATCATTAATTTCAAAAATGAGTTAATGAATAATCAATGAAATATTTTAAATCAGATTGAACGCAGCAGCATCCTTCCAATTCAAGTATTCATCATTATTTTTTACAAGGGACCCACAAATTAAAATGGAATCCAACCCACATCAATGTAATGATAGTTAATACAGATAAATTCTCACTCCATTATCAATCGAGCACCAAAACCACCAAATCCAGTATCAACTAAAACTATTTGAAAATGCACAACGACATAAATAGCAAGCATTTACAAGAACAAAACAGCACTAAAGATTGAAACACCTAAAACCTGTTGAGTGAGTCATCCGAGAACAAGTATTGGGAGTAAAACCTGATACACTATAAAATTGATTTACCAAGGAACAAAAGAAAGTAAAGGTTGACAGTTTCAGACAAACACATGTAATTAAAGCGGAAAAAAGAGCGAAGACTAGAAACTAGAGAGGAACCTTGTGGAGAGCAGGCCCAAAACGAGTAACGAAGGCACAATCTTGTGAGCCATGGCTTTCTCTAAGAACTTCCATGCAATGGGCACATTGTTATCCCAACAAATGTGAGATACCAGAAGGTTGGCTAGTTCAGAAGAAGGTAAAGAAACCCCCAAAGAACTCAACTTTGAGGACACTTTAATTGCCCACAATAATGGGTCGCAGCCCTGTTCTTGGGACGCCTTGGTTAGTTCCAAGACACCGTTCCAGGGGTTGAGGTACAACTGCGAGCACATCTCCATTACGAAGCTTACAGGATCATAATCTATGTCTCTGTGTGTTCATATGGGGTTGTTTATGTGCGCGCGCGCGCGCGTTAGATGATTGTATGGTGAAAGATATTATTCGTTTGAACAGAGAGGTTGGTGCGCCGATTGGTGCGATGTGGTTGATCCAAATGTTAAAGTTGAACTGAAAAGTTGGCTAATGGAGTTCCGGGGAAAAGAAACACTTAAATATGGGAGCGTGTGTCAATAATGCCATGAATCACCACATGAACCAGCTTAGTTGGCATTGAACTCCACCATTTTTAAATATCTTTTTCTTTAAACATTTTCAAACGTATTTCATGAATTCATAATTTGTCTTTAATTTTTAACTACAATTCTCCAAAAAAATTACTTTTTAAGTGAAAATCTCTTCCTCCTAAATAAACGCTAAAATATTTTAAGATTTAGGAAAATTATATTTGAGGTTCCAAACCTTTTACTTAATTGTAAACCACACCTAAATTTTTCACTTATTGCAATCATAGTCAGAAACCTTGCATTTCATTGCAGTTGTAAAACAAATGATCGTTTGTTGGCCAAAATTGATCCTCAATCCGAATGAAGTAATTTTATAAAAACTTATCGCAATTAAATTGACCTCAACTCAAAATGAATTCAGATAGAATAATATATATATATATATATATATATATTGTGTGCTAGATTTTGATTTCAAATAGAATACATATTAATGGTCTGAGGTAGGTAGAGATGATGACAAGCTAATATCCCAATTATAGTATATATATATATATATATATATATATATATATATATATATTGTGTGCTAGATTTTGATTTCAAATAGAATACATATTAATGGTCTGAGGTAGGTAGAGATGATGACAAGCTAATATCCCAATTATAGTCGGCCTCGTGATGATATTGCTTAGTTTTAGAATTAATTAAAAGCAACTTTTTGTATCAATGAGGACAAGTATAGTTGTGTTTGTGGCATCTTTATATTATAGCTTGTTCATGATGGTAACTTGGTTGGTAAGCACTACTTGCTCATGGCCAATATGTAAATATCATGCCAAATGGAATTATGGGTCCATCATTAGTCAAATTCATCAAATTTATTTGCTCGAATCCGACAAATTTCAATGTTCTAGTTTCATATATTTTTTGCTCGAAAATGTCTTTTTACAAATAATCGATTTCGATAATTCTTCCTATCAAATTACTATGTTAATGGAGATAAAAATAAAAATACAAATTTTTAGATGAGATTAATTGCAACCTAGAAAGCGAAACCCCACTTTGGGAAGCTTTGCTTCGGTCATGGTAAAAGTTACAATAAAATGATAAGATCTTAAAAAATATATTCAGACTTCTACCCAACCGAGTCTCCCATAACTTAGCTTATTATTTTTTTAAAAAGTACTATTCTTTACCTTACATTAGTGTTACGGCTATTGTTGAAAAAAGTGGCACGAATTTCGTGTATGCTTCTATTATGTTTTGCAATTGTTATATAATTATTTTTTTCGGGTTACGAGAAATTAAGGTGGACAAGACACTAAATCTCCATACATTTTAATACATTTCCTTGTAATTCATATATTTTCAGTTTTAGGTTAAGAAAATTCAACGGTGAATTTTAATCGGTGGAGTTAGTATTTTACAGGCTTTCAATCACTTTCGTAATCTCTCTCATCCTTTGAGAACGCTAATTTATATACTGTTTATGGTGTTGATTCGTAGAGGTAAAGAGAGAAAGCTGTAAAAAATTGACATAATGCCAAAAAGAACAAAGAAAGATATATGATGGTTAAGTTTGTCTTTGTTTACAAGATATTCAAAGAATTATTGCAATTTTACATTGTGAGAGAAATATAATATAATGTATCCAATGCAAATATTAGTTGTTACATCTACTTTAATTTATTTATAAAGTATTAATATTTATAAGAAAATATATTGGGTTATACGTTTCAATAATCCACAAGAAATATCAATAGCTGCCTCATGTATAGGTCTAGTTGGTATGACTAACCAACCAATAATATGTTATAATTGGTTGGCCCTAAGATAGGAATTGACTTCTTACCATTTTTATTTTTATTTTTTTTTTCATTTTTGGCAATTTTTTTGTGAAGAAGCAATGGACATTGTACATGTAAATCAAAACTAATATGGCATATTGCTTTAAATCAAATAATAGATGTAATAATGAATAGACAGAAGCGACAAAAAAGAATTCATGTAAATGATTATATAATTCAATATCAATAGTGAATGTTCATGATTGCAAAAAATTTCTTGTTTAGAGAGAAATAATTCTTAAAAACATACGACAATTTTACTATACTAATTGCACACTTGAGATCAAATGAAATGATATTTTTCAAATAATGTTTATATTACAATGAAGCAAAAACGAAGTGACTAAATGTCATCATCCAATTTGAACTCATAACTCTTTGAATCACCATGCAAGCTTGTCACAAGAGAAGCCTTCTAATAATCTCCCACCCTTCTCTCTCAAAGAAGTTAAGATTTTCCTTTGTTAAACCGGAATGAAGATTACAAAAAAAAAAAAAAAAAAAAAAATTTAAAAAATTAACTTTAAAAAAAAAAAAAAGTTTCATGTTAATCACTTAACATCACTTAGGTTAGGCTACCACGTGTCACACTTTATTAGAGAACATTTAACCGAGTGACAAAATTGAAATGAAAAGCAACTTCAGTAACAACTTCAAAACAAAATAAAGTTCAGAAACTAAAATGAAATTTCGTTATTAGCTGAGTGGCTAACAATGTTTTTAATCCTAAAAGTCACAAAAATTAAAAAACGATTCTGTGACAAGAATATATGCAGCCACAGAACAACACATATCGAGTGGTTTACCAGCTCCATCAAGCCACTAACAAGCAATGTTAAGACGATTTGATAGATTCATGAAACAACCAACTATTAAGGAGCCTTTTCTTAAACATTTAAAACACATGCAAAATGTTCCTCATAATTACCATAATTCACAAAGTATCAGATTATTGATTGAGTTTATACTTGTAATGCTATAAATTCCATCCAATCAAAAGGGGTTTTCAACATGGGTAAATGGAGCAAAACGTCTCTACCTTTCAAACTTATTGTGGAAAACGTTATTACCTTTTATTTTTAGACATTTTTGCCCATATTTCCACATTTTTTTGCGCTAAACGTCTTTTTTACCATTTTTTGACTTAAAATGACCAAAATACCCTTCTATTTAAACCAAAAAATAAAAATAAAAAATTGCAACTATAATCCCAAACTTTCAATATGTGCAAATCAGCCCAAAAATGAAAAAAAGGTCACCAAACCAAATCGACCACCACTTTGAAGCCAAAAAACTCCGGCCAACCACCGCCAAAACCATCTGACCTCCTTACTGTCGGATAGCCCTCACTTCCCTCTACACATATCCAATTACCATGCCAACAAATTTGGTAGAAATCGCAAGCCAAAATATCAAATTCGCAAATGCAAATACGGGGTGGCACCACCTGTTCCGACAAGACTCATGCCATTTGTAAAGCACTAAAACAAGTACATATATCAATTTTTTACTGAGGTTTATGACAGAAATCACTTCACCAGCAATCATTTCAATTGCACTAGTAGCATAAACTTGATAACCATCCATAGCATCTTCTAGGAGCAAATCAAGAGGAAGCCAAAAAGCAGAACGACCAACTCCAAGACAGAGACCAGCAGAATCATTCAGGGGCGTGGATTGTAGTATACCATGAAACTCTTGCAAGGAATTTTTCAAGCAATAATGAGACATGTTTTTTTGCTTATCTGATATCAAATGTAAAAGACCATCTGGTGTCATAACTTCTGAATTTCTCAAGGCTAATGAATTTTTTGCGAGCAGTTGAATTCGCAGGATAAAACCTCCCCATTCCATAGACCTAGCAGAGGGACAAACAAGTTATTATGCCATAACAGTATTGGGATGATCTCAGAATGATACATTGGAGCCTAGAAACAAATTGATAATAATGTATAAACCTCGGGCGAAGGCTATTATTAGAGGTGTCAGATTGATAGGTTCCCTCTAAATATAAACCCAACTATATAGTTCACATTACTTTTACATTATTTATTTCTATGATTCATCAAACTCCATATGGATTTGTAATCATGTAAACTAAATGGTATGTGCTTGATGTGAGGCGCAAAAAATGACTCATCGCCAATTTACTTCCGCTGACCACATATAAAATAGTATAGTCAAATAAAGGCAGAGAAACTTCTAAATTAAACTTCAAAGAAGGATAGAGTTCTGACATGTTTTGGCGTGCCAAGTAAAGAATTCTGGAAGTTACTTTATTTTTGAGAAACTTCCCAATCAACTCTATAGCCATAACGGTATTATAAGCCTTCAATCTCTCTCTATGTTCATTCTTCTTCTCATTATAACTATCATCGCGATCTACATCCATGTCTTGTGTTTCAGTCGGCCATTTAGATTGCTTCTCTGGAGTAAGCTGCAGCAGTCCCTCATCATCTAATGATGCATCAACTAACTGCCAGACAATTGAAAACACGAACTGGACCAAATGAACACCGGGCTCATTCGTTTGCAGAGTAAATATCTGAGAGAAATTAAGGATAGTATCCAATGAATTCATGATCCTACATTGAGACGAGAGGTCAGAAAACATATATCACTCAACATTTAATTCAAGCAGAAAAACAAAAATGATCAAAGTAAATGATAAAAACAGATTTGTCCTACTAAAATCTTTTACATTATAAGTGAAAGCCTTTATGTGGCCTCTGTTGTAACATATCATTGATACGATCTTAAAGAAATTAGGATGAGATATAAGTCAGGAACAAAGAATTTTCTGATTCGAGTCAGGCCAGCTTGACATCTAAATTCGTCAGCCAGCAATATAGACAGTATATCATATTTTTATTGCCCAAAATCCCAGTGTCATAAATCCGAGTTCTAACAATGCTCTTAGTTGATGTCATTCTCTATGACTATATGCCTCATTACTGGTTAAAAACAATGAAAGTACTCATGTAATGTGTCACTACTTAGCTCTCTGATTATTCAGAGAATGATTCAAGTACTACATCACAAGGGAAAATGAACCAACCAAGAGGTTTGAAAGTAACCACTGGATACACCACCTGCAGTTTCATATGGCCTCCAACAAATGTTCTTTTTTGCTAGTTCAGAAACAACCACCCACATTAAACTAGAATGAAGAAGGTGATTTGCTAAAAATAAGGTTAAATGGTGTTTTCTTAGAGCTTTACAAATTGAAAAAAGGAACTAAGCAACTTAGCATGAATAATAGAGATCAATAAAACTGTTATAATTCAGACCATATCTGAAACCACTTTGTTATAAAAAGGGGAGGCGAATATGACATAATATGAGGTATATGATCGCACACAAAAAACAAGATTAAAAGCAAACAATAGATTGATAGAGGAACCGAGTATTTTATTCAACGACCAAAGGAGAAAATAATATTGTTACAACAATCTTAGCAATACTTAAACTGAATGAAGAATCTACTATTTATAGAGGTATGTCAAAACCCTAAAAGTAACCTAAAAGATGGAAATTAGGTCAAAATACGCGTAAAACTGACAAAAGGAGAAAACCTCGCGCAACACCGTCACTCGAGTGCCGTCTGGAGTGAGGCGAGCGACTGCCGTGTCGACGAACTTGGGCGACAACTTCCTGCTCCAAATGTTCGCCTACTGCCCAAGCAGCCAGCTAGCGAAAATGCGGCGACCTTTCTTTCCGATCCATAATTTTGATCTCTCAAAGACCACTACTCCAAACCACGTAACCCTAAACCGAATTTGGATTACAAACCCAACAAAAACTAAATATGAGCTTGATAAAGCATCACACCCAATAAAGTTGTGGCGTCATTCTCACTACTTAAAAATAACAAACACTCATCTTTGGTAAGGGAATCGATGTGTAATGTTTAAAATAGTACATAGAGAAATATATGTTGACAGCAGACAATAAAAACGGCTTTGGTAAAAATTAAATACTCACTTCTGATATTCTGGCAGAGTTGAATATCGTTTAAGCGTGAAGGCATGTCTTTCAAGGAGTTCCATATAAAGCCTAAATGCTGCTGGATGAGAATGCCGATATGGCATTACCCTGTTAAAAAGTTAAGAAACAATGATACAGTTCAATTTGTGCCAAAGTGAGAAATCAAATGCAGAAACATTAAAAAATTGTATTCTTTTGATTAAGTGTTTTGTTGAATATCTAACAGGTTGAATCCCTCTGTTTAACACCATAGACTCAAATTGCATTGCCAGTAAAGAGATTATACATCCGTCATAATGAGTTTGCAGGTAGTTCACAACAGGATGAATTTATCTGCCTCTACATTATCGATGAAAAATGTTAATTAAAAATAATAATAATAATAATTGTTACTTCAGCATTCAATACTAAAGCAAAAATACATGATACAAACAGGACAACATAATCAGTGGAATGTATTGCCAAATCTAATTACAACATTCATTTAAAATATGTTAAAAATAGGCAGCTAAGACATGTTTGATGCCATAAACAGAAAATAACAGCTCCTACAAAAGATGATATTGAATGCACCTCACTAATATAGAAATCAATAACACAATGTCAAAGACTTGAGCAAAAGCGATTCTAGATTCTTATTACAAAGAAAGAATCAATCTTGTACCTCTTGAAAGATGGAAACAACTGTTACATCTCACAATAAAAACATACACAAATTGAAAATACATTTCAAAATAAAAACAAACACAAATTGAAAAATGTCGAAATAAGTACTGTTTTAAAAAGTACCTGACATCATTGAACAGAATACTTACCATTAGTAAAAGAAAAAATCATTAATTTCAAAAATGAGTTAATGAATAATCAATGAAATATTTTAAATCAGATTGAACGCAGCAGCATCCTTCCAATTCAAGTATTCATCATTATTTTTTACAAGGGACCCACAAATTAAAATGGAATCCAACCCACATCAATGTAATGATAGTTAATACAGATAAATTCTCACTCCATTATCAATCGAGCACCAAAACCACCAAATCCAGTATCAACTAAAACTATTTGAAAATGCACAACGACATAAATAGCAAGCATTTTCAAGAACAAAACAGCACTAAAGATTGAAACACCTAAAACCTGTTGAGTGAGTCATCTGAGAACAAGTATTGGGAGTAAAACCTGATACACTATAAAATTGATTTACCAAGGAACAAAAGAAAGTAAAGGTTGACAGTTTCAGACAAACACGTGTAATTAAAGCGGAAAAAAGAGCGAAGACCAGAAACTAGAGAGGAACCTTGTGGAGAGGAGGCCCAAAACGAGTAACGAAGGCACAATCTTGTGAGCCATGGCTTTCTCTAAGAACTTCCATGCAATGGGCACATTGTTATCCCAACAAATGTGAGATACCAGAAGGTTGGCTAGTTCAGAAGAAGGTAAAGAAACCCCCAAAGAACTCAACTTTGAGGACACTTTAATTGCCCACAATAATGGGTCGCAGCCCTGTTCTTGGGACGCCTTGGTTAGTTCCAAGACACCGTTCCAGGGGTTGAGGTACAACTGCGAGCACATCTCCATTACGAAGCTTACAGGATCATAATCTATGTCTCTGTGTGTTCATATGGGGTTGTTTATGTGCGCGCGCGCGCGCGTTAGATGATTGTATGGTGAAAGATATTATTCGTTTGAACAGAGAGGTTGGTGCGCCGATTGGTGCGATGTGGTTGATCCAAATGTTAAAGTTGAACTGAAAAGTTGGCTAATGGAGTTCCGGGGAAAAGAAACACTTAAATATGGGAGCGTGTGTCAATAATGCCATGAATCACCACATGAACCAGCTTAGTTGGCATTGAACTCCACCATTTTTAAATATCTTTTTCTTTAAACATTTTCAAACGTATTTCATGAATTCATAATTTGTCTTTAATTTTTAACTACAATTCTCCAAAAAAATTACTTTTTAAGTGAAAATCTCTTCCTCCTAAATAAACGCTAAAATATTTTAAGATTTAGGAAAATTATATTTGAGGTTCCAAACCTTTTACTTAATTGTAAACCACACCTAAATTTTTCACTTATTGCAATCATAGTCAGAAACCTTGCATTTCATTGCAGTTGTAAAACAAATGATCGTTTGTTGGCCAAAATTGATCCTCAATCCGAATGAAGTAATTTTATAAAAACTTATCGCAATTAAATTGACCTCAACTCAAAATGAATTCAGATAGAATAATATATATATATATATATATATATATTGTGTGCTAGATTTTGATTTCAAATAGAATACATATTAATGGTCTGAGGTAGGTAGAGATGATGACAAGCTAATATCCCAATTATAGTCGGCCTCGTGATGATATTGCTTAGTTTTAGAATTAATTAAAAGCAACTTTTTGTATCAATGAGGACAAGTATAGTTGTGTTTGTGGCATCTTTATATTATAGCTTGTTCATGATGGTAACTTGGTTGGTAAGCACTACTTGCTCATGGCCAATATATAAATATCATGCCAAATGGAATTATGGGTCCATCATTAGTCAAATTCATCACATTTATTTGCTCGAATCCGACAAATTTCAATGTTCTAGTTTCATATATTTTTTGCTCGAAAATGTCTTTTTACAAATAATCGATTTCGTTAATTCTTCCTATCAAATTACTACGTTAATGGAGATAAAAATGAAAATACAAATTTTAAGATGAGATTAATTGTAACCTAGAAAGCGAAACCCCACAACGGGAAGCTTCGCTTCGGTCACGGTAAAAGTTACAAAAAAATGATAAGATCTTAAAAAATATATCCAGACTTCTAAGACTTCTACCCAACCGAGTCCCCCATAACTTACCTTATTATTTTTTTAAAAAGTACTATTCTTTACCTTACATTAGTGTTACGGCTATTGTTGAAAAAAGTGGCACGAATTTCGTGTATGCTTCTATTATGTTTTGTAATTGTTATATACTTATTTTTTTCGGGTTACGAAAAATTAAGGTGGACAAGGCACTAAATCTTTATACATTTTAATACATTTCCTTGTAATTCATATATTTTGTGTAGTTTTAGGTTAAGAAAATTCAACGGTGAATTTTAATCGGTGGAGTTAGTATTTTACAGGCTTTCAATCACTTTCGTAATCTCTCTCATCCTTTGAGAACGCTAATTTATATACTGTTTATGGTGTTGATTCGTAGAGGTAAAGAGAGAAAGCTGTAAAAAAATTGACATAATGCCAAAAAGGACAAAGAAAGATATATGATGGTTAAGTTTGTCTTTGTTTACAAGATATTCAAAGAATTATTGCAATTTTACATTGTGAGAGAAATATAATATAATGTATCCAATGCAAATATTAGTTGTTACATCTACTTTAATTTATTTATAAAGTATTAATATTTATAAGAAAATATATTGGGTTATACGTTTCAATAATCCACAAGAAATATCAATAGCTGCCTCATGTATAGGTCTAGTTGGTATGACTAACCAACCAATAATATGTTATAATTGGTTGGCCCTAAGATAGGAATTGACTTCTTACCATTTTTATTTTTATTTTTATTTTTTTTTCATTTTTGGCAATTTTTTTGTGAAGAAGCAATGGACATTGTACATGTAAATCAAAACTAATATGGCATATTGCTTTAAATCAAATAATAGATGTAATAATGAATAGACGGAAGCGACAAAAAAGAATTCATGTAAATGATTATATAATTCAATATCAATAGTGAATGTTCATGATTGCAAAAAATTTCTTGTTTAGAGAGAAATAATTCTTAAAAACATACGACAATTTTACTATACTAATTGCACACTTGAGATCAAATGAAATGATATTTTTCAAATAATGTTTATATTACAATGAAGCAAAAACGAAGTGACTAAATGTCATCATCCAATTTGAACTCATAACTCTTTGAATCACCATGCAAGCTTGTCACAAGAGAAGCCTTCTAATAATCTCCCACCCTTCTCTCTCAAAGAAGTTAAGATTTTCCTTTGTTAAACCGGAATGAAGATTACAAAAAAAAAAAAAAAAAAAAAAATTTAAAAAATTAACTTTAAAAAAAAAAAAAAGTTTCATGTTAATCACTTAACATCACTTAGGTTAGGCTACCACGTGTCACACTTTATTAGAGAACATTTAACCGAGTGACAAAATTGAAATGAAAAGCAACTTCAGTAACAACTTCAAAACAAAATAAAGTTCAGAAACTAAAATGAAATTTCGTTATTAGCTGAGTGGCTAACAATGTTTTTAATCCTAAAAGTCACAAAAATTAAAAAACGATTCTGTGACAAGAATATATGCAGCCATAGAACAACACATATCGAGTGGTTTACCAGCTCCATCAAGCCACTAACAAGCAATGTTAAGACGATTTGATAGATTCATGAAACAACCAACTATTAAGGAGCCTTTTCTTAAACATTTAAAACACATGCAAAATGTTCCTCATAATTACCATAATTCACAAAGTATCAGATTATTGATTGAGTTTATACTTGTAATGCTATAAATTCCATCCAATCAAAAGGGGTTTTCAACATGGGTAAATGGAGCAAAACGTCTCTACCTTTCAAACTTATTGTGGAAAACGTTATTACCTTTTATTTTTAGACATTTTTGCCCATATTTCCACATTTTTTTGCGCTAAACGTCTTTTTTACCATTTTTTGACTTAAAATGACCAAAATACCCTTCTATTTAAACCAAAAAATAAAAATAAAAAATTGCAACTATAATCCCAAACTTTCAATATGTGCAAATCAGCCCAAAAATGAAAAAAAGGTCACCAAACCAAATCGACCACCACTTTGAAGCCAAAAAACTCCGGCCAACCACCGCCAAAACCATCTGACCTCCTTACTGTCGGATAGCCCTCACTTCCCTCTACACATATCCAATTACCATGCCAACAAATTTGGTAGAAATCGCAAGCCAAAATATCAAATTCGCAAATGCAAATACGGGGTGGCACCACCTGTTCCGACAAGACTCATGCCATT